TGTAGAGCCAGTCAGTTTAGCACACCTAGCTTGTTGTTAAAAGCGTAGAGCCAGTGAGTTAAGCACACCTAGCTTGTTAAAAGTGTAAAGCCAGTAAGTTCAGCACACCTAGCTTGTTGTTAAAAGCTTAGAGCCAGTGAGTTAAGCACACCTAGCTTGTTGTTAAAAGTGTAGAGCCAATGAGTTTAGCACACCTAGCTTGTTGTTAAACGTGTAGAGCCAGTGAGTTCAGCACATCTAGCTTTTTGTTAAAAGTGTAGAGCCATTGAGTTTAGCACACCTAGCTTGTTAAAAGTGTAGAGCCATTGAGTTAAGCACACCTAGCTTGTTGTTAAAAGCGTAGAGCCAGTGTGTTTAGCACACCTAGCTTGTTGTTAAAAGCATAGAGCCAGTGAGTTTAGCACAACTAGCTTGTTGTTAAAAGCATAGAACCAGTGTGCTCAGCACATTAGCATTTTGTACCGACTGGTTCTACACATTTAAAAATTTCGTATCAGCTATTGTCATGATAGTTATTCATTTGAATTGTTTTTATTTACAGAACGGTTGGAGATGCAAGGATGACTTCATTCTTCAGGAATAATTTTGGAGAAGATCGTTGGCGAAGAGCAGCATTGAAAAATGCATTTGCACTTCTTGGCAAACAGCGATTTGAGCATGCTGCAGCTTTCTTTCTGCTGGCAGGTGCTCTGAAAGACGCAATAGAAGTGTGTATAGATAAGCTTGAGGACATTCAGCTAGCTATGGTCATCGCACGTCTCTACGAAGAAGATTTAGAAATTCCAGTCACCCAGAAAATGATTCTGCATGAAAACATCCTTGGTTGTGATGACAGCGGTACACAGTCATTTAACATGAATGTCAGTTCTGATCCGTTTGTTCGTAGCATTTCATACTGGTTACTCAAGGATTACACCAAGTCACTGGAAACATTGCTGGAACAACCTGAAAAATCATTACGTCAAGATACTAGCATTGAAAGCATGTTAAGTGATAAACAAAGTCTTATGGACTCGTGTACTTCCAACCCTGATGTCTTCAATTTCTACAACTACCTACGCACACACCCTTTATTGGTAAGGCGACAGTTTGCAGGACGCGATGGACATGGACCAAGTTCAGTGTTGATAACCGGATTCAGCAGTATTCAAGCAGTTGACCAGATTTACCAGGATGAGATCACACCGTTAGAGAGACAGTTGTTTTTTAGGACTGCTCATGCACATTTTGTCGCTGGATGCCCACTCTCAGCATTAGAAGTATTGTCAAAACTTCCTAAAGTGAAGTCTAAGGAGGTGTCTTCAAAAACTACCAGTCAAGTGTCATCAAGGTGTGATCATATCGACAACAAAGATATGATTGATACAGGAACCATCATTGATTCAGGATTTGTGAAAGATAACTCTGATAGTTTTGATTGGGGTCAGCCAATTGTGCAAAAAGACAACAAAGAGTCTTTATTTGACTGGAGTCAGCCAGTTGGAATGCCGGTTGAAGAGAAGCTGGAATTGACATGGAGTGATAATGATAATGATAATGATGATAATGATGATGATGATGATGATGATGATGATGATGAGACAGTTGGGAAATCAGATACAGAATCTGCCGGACATGAAGAAGAAAAGAGTAACTTAACTTCTCAAGAGAAAGATGAACAACTAAGTTTAGGAAGTGAGTCTGTATCATTGGAAATTGACATTATGGCTCAACAGTTGAAATTTCAAGCATGCTTGAAAATACTCATGGAGGAACTGAGGACGTTGGCTACAGGGTTTGAAGTTGATGGTGGTCAGCTGCGATATCAGCTATATGCCTGGCTGGAGAGGGAAGTAGAGGCGTTACGGGTACTGTGCAATTACGACAGTGGTGAATACGAGGACGTCAAACTTGAACTTATGGATATAGTGTCTGATCATGTGGAATCCATTACTCAGTTTGAAATTCCAATTAATCAACATGATAGTAAACAAAGCAAAACATTACATGAAGTCATCATGGCTGATCGCATGGACTTGGAAGCTAAGAGAGAAAGGGCAGAAAGGAGAAAACACTGGTTGAAAAGAAATCAGAATCTTCTTAGGACGTTGTTAAGTTACACTAGTTTGCATGGTTCAGCTGGAGGTGGGTTGGCATCCGTCAAAATGGAATTGATATTACTTCTCCAAGAACTTCAACAGGAAAAGACGCAACAACAGCTTCTTTCGCCGCTGCCCTTCCCGACTACCCTGCCCCTGTTATCAGCTAGTGTGGCGAGCGCTAAGACTGTGGTTGCTGACCCTATTGTTCATTTATGCAATGTCACTCATGATATTCTCCACACCGTTGTGCAGTTTACTACACCACCTAGACCTGGAAAAAATATTAGCGTTGTACAAACTTTACGTACACTAAGTGCGTCTTTGTCGTCATGTGTGTACCAGAGTCTGTGTGACAGTGATAGCTGCGTTACATTGTTAAAACAGACGACCACTAAGGGAATGAAAGTATATAGTGCAGGTACTCACTCTAACATCATTTATAGACCAGGTCATCTTATTGGAGCAAGGAAGAGACATTTCTCAGAAGAAAATCTTACTCCCACTACAGCCCCTTCAAAATGGCCTGGTAAGTCTTTTGTTAGCTCCGCTGTCGACAAAGTCGACACAGTGGAGCTGTTCATATTACTGATTGTCCGTCGCCGTCATCATCGTCGTCAACTTTACATTTTCAACTTCTTCTTCGAAATCGCAAATCAGAATGTTTTCACATTTGATTTGCAAGTACCTCAGATTTGTTCATTTCATGTCAAAATCTCAAATTCTCTATTTTTGGTGAATATTTTTTTTCATTTTTGGTAAAAAGTGATATTTTCGACTTCTTATTAAAAACCGTAAGTCCGATTGCTTTGATATTGCATATATAGGTACTACATGTAGACCTCTCTCAGATTTGTTCATTTAGTAATGATATCTTTAATTTCCTAATTTTGGTGAATATTTTTGTCATTTTTTGTAAAAAGTTATATTTTTGATTTCTTGTAAAAAACGACAAGTCCAATTGCTTTGATATTACATATATAGGTACTACCTGTCGATCTCTCTCAGATTTGTTCATTTTGTAATGATATCTTTAATTCTCTAGTTTTGGTGAATATTTTTGTAATTTTTGGTAAAAAGTGATATTTTCGACTACTTGTTAAAAACTGCAAGTCCAATTGCTTTGATATTACATATATAGGTACAACATGTGCACCTTTCTCAAATTTGTTTATTTCGTGATGATATCTTCAATTCTCTAATTTTGGTGAATATTTTTGTAATTTTTGGTAAAAAGTGATTTTTTTGACTTCTTGTTAAAAACAGCAAGTCCGATTGCTTTGATACTATACATATTGTTCATTTTCTAATGATATCTTCACTTCTTTGCTAACAGCGGAGCTATCTCAGCCAACAGGCTGCTTGTTAATTTTACAAATCTTGTTTCTGAATGAACAAAAATGACATCGTAACCTTGACACAATTTAACAAAACTATGAGTCTCGTCATTGACATATTATTTGAATTCCATATGGCTCGGCATCTCATATTTCATTTCTCAGATATCTTTGTGCTAATCCCGTTCATAATTTATGATGCACTGTGAGATTATTCTTTTTAGTGGATGCCAGGACTACAATGTAAAGTATTTGATATTTTACCTTTAAGTGTTTTTATTCATTAACCATGACCATTGAGCTACAGGACCACAGGCATATTTGTAACTTTGTAAATAACACAATTTCTTTCCAGGAGTTTCATCGCTTCAATCGCTATTAGCAACTGAGAGGGATGAAGATATGCCTAAATTGAACATCTTTCTTTGTGAGGCCCTTGTTGCTGTTTACATCAGCTTACTTGTACATGCCATGACAACCAATACACCTGGTGAGCTTTACCGACTGATAGCACACAACTTTGATGCCAAAATGTGGTCTGCTGTGTTTGGAGGAGGGACTAAGGTGATGATACCACTTGCCATGACAACGCATCCTGAAGGTGAGTACTGATACCTTTATTCTTAAATTTGTAGTAGATGTGTCACATGATAACATTTATTGATTGTACAGGCAAGTCATTTTAAAAGCAAATGAAAAATCATTTCCGAAGATGTACAGTTGATTTCACATGATTCAATTACTGGTAATTGAGGATAAAACTGATGGCTCACAGCATGAAATGTGTGTAATACTGTTTTGTTTTAATGGCAAGGCTCTAAAGAAGGAGATGAAATGTTAGCAAAGCAAAGAAGGCAACTTCATCTTCGTCTTCTTGGTAAAGCCACACCACAGCAAAGTCCATATGTGACCAGTCGTCTAGCAGCATCGTCTACAAATCATACTGAGAGAGCAGCCTTTAAAGAGAAGTTTGTATCCCCTGAAATCAGTCTGATTGATTACTTTATGGTTAAGGTAAGTAAACACTTACTAACAGTTAAAGCTATTGTTAATTTGAAGCTGAAGCAATTATTGGTCACATTACAAATTGTACTCCTGGACTAATGTTGTGTAACAATGTTATGCAGTTAATAACACACACACACATACATACAAAGTTGAAAGTTTTTACAAAATCCATGACGTAACTACCAGTAGTTTTTACTGCTTGTAAAATACTTAATTCTAAGCAGGGTCAGTGATAAAAAAAAAAATTAAACCAAACGCTGGAAGAACTTTGCCTCTGCATAAACTCGGATATCATATTTCTGAATTTGCAACAGCGCCCCCAATGATGGATTCGAGCAAAGTGTTATCATGTAATCTGCCATAACCATTAAAATGCAGGAAAGCGCTACAAATGCCAATAAATCTCAAGGGAATTATAAAAAGAGAAAATAACTCAACTTGTTTCCATGCAATTGAAGTCAGAATTGGTATCTCAGACTCGTCAGATTTATTATAAATAATGTCAGAAATTTCCTGTGTTCAAAGTTTGTTTGTCCATCCATAGTTATCATCCAAATTGATTATTTTATTCTTCAAAATCCATTCTATTATATTTTGCTGTTTCTTAACAGTGAAAAATAACCATTCAATGTTTATTACAGCCATATGTAGCACCAATGAATGATGGAACGAATTATGAATCAGATGAAAGTGTGAGTGATGAAGAAACTCCTATGGATGAAGATGATGATGTCTTTACCATCACCACGACAACGTCCTCCTTAGATGAACATACTGATTACAATTCTTACAGTTGGTGTCTCATGAGATATGCTATAGCAAGATTAGTTTTACAGAAACTGCAGTGTTTTCTACCTGTTGCTGGTATTGAATTGGCAGGTTAGTTTCATATTTAAAACATACACAACATTTGATGCATAGCATAGATGAAATATACATGGCTGTGTTGAATTGTGTTTTATTGCTGCATGTAAAGGCTTCTTCAAAAGGTTCATTCTCTGTCCATTGCAATAATAGATATTGTATCCATCCAAATTTTATCATTGAAATCTTGTTTCTATTTTTTTTTCAGAATTACCTGTGGCCTCACCATTGATTCACTCCTTCTTGAAAACACTTGAAAGATGGCAGCAATTGCTGATGGGAAAATTGGAGCTCTTCTCTAGTCCTCCCCCAGATTACATATCCACTAATATCTCCTATGATCCATTGTCATTTACACCACAGACTGGTGCTCCTGCCATTCTTAGATATAAAGCCATGCTGGAGCCATCAAATACACCATTCAGGTGAGATAGAAATCCCCATGCTTTCCTACTACATGATGGAGGTCCCCATAACTTGCTTTACTCAGCAGTATTTTGTCCAGCCCACCAAACCTACAGTATAAAATTTAATGAAATGGCGTCCCATCAAACTGCTCATCCCCTGTCCTTGGTACATGGTCCACACAATTACAATTCACCAAAATGTGTAATTTGCATAATAGATTTTCAGTCAATGGGGAAATTACCGGTATACATATAATGTACATATAAGTTTACACAATGTTGCATTAATATTTGTGTGTAAAAAAATTATGGTGTTTAAGAAGTTAAAGAAAACCTGCCTCTGTGCTGCCAAAGCAGATTTCTGTGGGATAACTCCCTCCTCCTTACAGCCACTTGTATTCACTATTCTCAGTGATTGTCGTTAGAACCAGATATTCACAGATACCTCTTGTGTTCTTACAGGTCCAACAGCAGATCTGCACTTTCTGTAAAAAGATTGTGGAATTTCTTAGTTCGTCAAGACCATGTACAGGAAATCTTCATTCATTATATTTTCAACAAGAAGGGAAGGGAACACGAGGTAAGACTTTAGAAATTAGGTCTGTGATGTGAGTAACCAGATATAAATGTATACCTGTGATCTTCAATGATGTCACTTGAGCTGAAGAAATATACAGTGACCCCTCGCTAAGTCGAGGTGACGGGATCCTAGCAAAAACCACGACTTATCAGGGGCTGCGGCTTACAGAGGTTCCTTGTGAAAGGGGGTTCATGCATTGAAAATGGATACAAAATGCACATATGCACATGTGGGTTTATTTATTGTATGTTTTTTTTATTTCTATGTCCATGACATAGCAAGGGGGCACTGTACATAGTGTAATAATATGATGGAGTAAATACAGGGTTTGCTTGTCAAGACGTTATTGTGTTATTCATATTGTGATTGCTTATATTAAAACAAACTGAATTTTGTTCGAGCAAACAGATTTTATACATACTAGGGATTATTCCTACAAATTTACAAATACATTCACAGCATTTTATGAGATCTGATAATTTACGATAGAAAATACAAAACTGTACTCTGATGCAATACTGGTGTGACTTTGCAGTGATTCTGTCACAAAGTTGATTTGATTTGAAAAGAAAAACTTAACATGTACCGGGTAATTCCTTTTCTCACTTTATGCTAGGCGGAGATAATAGATGAAATTGACAGTGGACTCAAAGTCGCCAGATCACGTATAATTCACAAAGAGGCTGAGAAGATATCCGCATTCACCATCAATCATGTACGTATTATGTTAGAACATTTTATAAATATGTCGTAAGTATGTTTACGCTGGCGCGTTTTATAAAAATGTCTTGTCTGTTTCATCAGGATTAGAAGTTTTAACATTTGCAAATATTGTTCGGTTCGGTTCAATTTATTTAGTATACTGTAAACTGCTTTGTTTTCGTAGGAGTCAAAGTAAAAATTTGCAGTGAACATTTTTCTTGGGTTCTACAACATGGAGTCTCAGGAACATATGCGAAATTCTATTTTCATTTTCACACAATCTTGAAATTCCAAAAATCCTTTAAAAATAAATGGTTTTACGGTATAACATTTTCAATGCACACTCTGATTTATTTCCTCCATATCCAGCCATTTTGTTCTGATGTTTATTCTTCTTGACAAATCACAGTGTAACAGGAGAAAACCATCAGACAGCTATAACAACCAATTCACCTATGTCATCGTATATTGTTTATTTGTTCATGAATTTCATCTACTCACCCAATCTACTCTATTTTTCAGGAGAAAAATGGTGAACCCGTGCCCCTCTCCCCCAGATCACTGTATCATTAAATTATTTGTTTGTTTTTTTTTCTTCCCACACAAAATACAGGGTGCTTGGGTCAATATATCCTACAATGGAGTGTACAGTGTATGTATTTTACAAACCTTAATTGTCATCACCCCCCTTCAACCTTTCATGTGCCTTCCTTGGGTGACAGTGATTCTATGCCATTCTTTGTGGAATATGTATATATTTATGATTAACTTGTGCATGCCAATCATTGGAGAGACATCATGTGGGAAAATAGTGGTGCATTCTTGGAATGAACATTCTGTTATGTGTTTCTGTAATATATTTAATTCTTGTCTAAAATAGAATTATTTTGTTTCACCAATAATAATCTGGTGAAATACAGTGGCACGGCTTGTATTTGATTGCTGGATTTGAATATTCATTTGTATAGGCCTTTATTTAGAAGCTTTGATTATATTTATGTTTAAACACAAACAAAAATTTGCTCTAATAATAGCACATATACTGACATTAATAACATCTTTGTTTTACAACAAACACATACATTCTCTGCTTGTATTTGTCACTAGAATTCTTTACCATTCAACAGGTGTTTACAAGCTGATAAAATACAGCAATGTTTACTGCTGCCTCGTGGGTACCATTGGACTTTAGGTTTTTTCCTGGGTACTATCTGAATACACAAAATGGCTACAGCTTATGTCTGATTTCTCAATATTTAAGTTTATGATTTATGATAGCTTCTTCATTAATCTTACTTTTCTTTATAGCAATTCTTTTTCTTCAATGTCAACACGATCAACACTTTGCTTTCCAGACTACAATTTGTAGAACTGATTTATGTATTATTTAGTGACAATCTCCATTAATTCAGCAGCTAGTTACATTTCTTTATGTTTTCTGATTCTTTTTAAAGAGCACCACTGTCTCATAAAAAAAAGATTTTCAATGTGCTACTCTTGGGGGCGCTCTTTGAAAAATGAGTAACTTTGAGGGCGCTCTGATAATCCTTTAACTTACCTTTTCTATTGGTATATATTAGCACAGGATTACAAATAGGTTGGATCTATCTTATCATATTAATTTTTAATGATAAGTATTTCTCTATAAACTATTCTTTTCAGATGGATAACATAAGTGACTGACAGTCTTTAGGTCTTGTACTAAACAATCTCTTTTCTTTCTCTGTCTTTGTAGCAGTGATCGTCAAGTTTCCTACTCAAATTAATTATAATATACATGTGCTGTTGTGCATATATTTGTGTGTATCTAAATTTGAAACAAAGATTTTGTTTTTATCTGATAACATTTTAGTTAGATTAGTTTTCTATCTCTCAATATCAAGCACGTTTCCAACTCATCTCTGTCTTTCATGATATGATAGAAGCCTATCATTTATTCTGTGGAAGGGCCGATACTTTACGATCATTGTCTTGAGTTCTCACAAATCATCATGTTATGCACCATAAGGCATTGTTTCATAAATGTTTCTCTATAAATCATGGGTATCATTTTACTGTGTATATGGAATGCAAGGTATTTATTTATCATCTTGAACTTCAAAATAAAAACTATTTCTATGTTCAACTTTGCAGGCCAATCCAAGCTGTATGGTTGTTTCCACATCTAAGGAGATTCTAGAATTGGATTTGTCATTGATTCTGAACCCTCAGCCGCTAGCTTGGATCGAAGAACGGTATGATGACACACAAACTGACAGGTGTGTATTTGTATACTGATAGTAATTTAACATAAACTGACATTGATAATATTTAACATATTATAGAGACAACTCTGGGGGTACATTTCATAGTTTAAACCATGCATCCTTCAAGCTCCATTGGATGATAACACTTTCAATCAATTTTTATTATGTCATCATGTCACAGTCGACCAATTTACTCATTCAAGGTTATTTAACCTAATAACAGGGATGAAAATATTTTGTTTCAAAATTACCACGTAATTACTGATTTGGATGCTCGTTTTTTTTTATCCATTACCGGTACTAATTTTTGTTTTTTTGGATTGCCTGAAAAAATGCACAAATATACATTTTGTAACATTTCCATAGTAATCCATGTCAAGCATTATTTCACAAAAAATGAATAGTTTCCATCCAAATTTTCTAATAATTTCTAAATTAAAATATTTTGAGAGTATGTGATCAACAGGAAACTTTGTAGCAGTGGCACAGAGTGTCGGTGACTTTCGCAACATGCAGTCTTAGTGTAGGAAAGAACATAAGATTGTTTTCACTATAAAAATATAAAATAAATACATTCTTTCATTGTTGTTGCAGCTTATCAACTTCTCGGAGTCAAACTGATGATGACTTTACAATCGTACATCACATAGAAAAGAGTTCATCGTCTTCAACTCCGACTTCTCATAATTCATCGAATATATTGCCTTCAAGTAGTTCAAGTTCTCTGACAGCTGAATCACGGCAAACAGGAAGAGGCAGTACTATGGTGAGTACAGGTCATACAAATAGATTACAAAAAGGTTTCGAAAACCAACAATCCAGCGGCATTTTTCATCAATGATTTATTATACATCTGTCAGCATATCTCCACAAATTATAGTGTTTCATAATTTGAGTGGGGCATCTATATTCTGCCTTATTAGGAAATGCAATTTCCAAATAAGGAACTATTTGTTCTTAAATGTGGATAAAGAGAGGTTTCACCCCCTTGCCTAGGCTTGGCTTTATACACCAATGATGTACATCCATGTACACAATGTACCTTTATTATGTTTTTTGTATTGATTTTCACAACTCAATAGTCGATATTCCCTATATATTGTCTTGTAGTATATTTTGTGATGTTTGTGTCATATAGTACGTGGGCATTGTGATTACTAAATGCTGTGAGGAAAACATGTCACTGTGTTCATCCGTCTGTCACATTTAATCAGTCTCAACTCAGAACAATATTATTGCAATTATCAACTACGAAATGAACTTTAAGCCTGGACAATTTCAATCACGTCAGTTCTCAGGCAAAAAAATAGATTTGTCTGTTTGCATATCAGTTTGAAAACTGCATGTTACACAATTTTTTTTTGTTTTTTGGCAAAATATTGCAGAAATGAAAGTCAAAAAAACTAATAAAAATGAACAAAAATGCACCATTTTTTTTAAACATGTCCTCCTTGTGTCTTATTAGACATGCCCCCAGGTCCAGTTGTGTTTAGCTCCCTCTTGTGACACGTTATAATTCCCAATGAGGACACTGCTGATCTGACTTGTAACCGTGGTAATAATAATTGATAATCTGTTTGTATTATAGTTATTAAAGAGGCAAGTTCATGGGGTGAGAAGGATGGCGTCACATCCGTCACTCCCATATTGTAAGTATATTCTTACTGTGTATTGAACACTGATTTATCTCTGTATATCATAATAATTGTCAGGTTTATGAGGTCACACCTAATCTATTATTGCATTGCCCATATCAAAACCTTTGATATACATGTACAAAGCAAAAATATCAATAATCCAAAAAAAAGGGTACATTTTTATTGCATTTTGTTAGTCACACTAAATAAAAGTGAAGAAAGCTGAGGAACTGTAATTGCAGCCATTAAAACAAATATTTAAATGCAAGCAATTAATGGAAGATTTTTCAAGACTGTTGAAATTAATTAATTAATTAAGTTGACAAAATTAAAATGGTATTGTTGCTAATTATCAAATTTTGCTAGCCCACCCCCACCCCCCCCCCCACCCCCCGCCAAAAAAATCATTACATTCCTGTTATTCACATACATTCCCTATACATACATGTATATGGTAATTGTGATCTAGTCAAATCTGGTTCTATCCAGTTCCAACCAGTCATTCCAGGTGGACATGTCTCTTACTAGTGTGGTTTTCCTACTAGATTTGACCGGTTCTACGGATGGCAGTGTTAGTTTGTGGGAATGGGGTCACACACAGAAATTACATACTCATCGCATTGCTGGCAACTATCCAAAAGTTACAAGAATTTATTGTAATCCACAGGGTAATAAGGTAAGTCTTGAAAATAACTAGAAACTAATGTTATTGTCGTCTTTTAGTTCATTGTCTGGCTGACAAATCCTACCACAAAGCATTACTGAAATGTTGATACACGGGAAAACAATTACTAGTTCATTTGTTTGTTTTTCCCTACACCATTTGATACAACTCATTAGCTTACCTATGCATACTTAATTATATAATTTGTGTAAATGGTCACAATGAAAAATAATTACAAAACTTTCATTAGAGTTTGTAACTAATTAATTTTTGTTTGTCATGGGCTCCTAGTGATTTATTTGTTAGATTGATATAATGTGTAGAGAATGGTAGAAGGTAATCATAGTTCTTGATAATTATTCAATATGTGTTCCCTTCTTCAGTGGATAATCTGAATTAGATGACAGATCATAAAAATAAAACAGATCTCAAACTTAATTAATGACCATAATATAAATAAAATTCTTATTCACAATATTATTATGTGTGTTCTTATAGTTCGGAGTTGCTGATGAAAGTGGTCAGTTGTGTCTTTGGCAGATTTGTGGTTTGACTAATACAGGTAGCAAACCATTCCTGGTGAGTGCATTAAATTTTCATTGTATTCTATGTATATATATACTTGTCCTTGTACTGACGTGTGTGCACTGGGAGTCATTTCTTAGACATGATTTGCCTGATTTGGTACAAAGGTATGTCATAATAGTTGACATACATTTTTGTATGCACATCAAGTTATTTTTCATTTTGATGAAAATTGTCCGATTGGGGGCTATTTTTCTTCCCTAAAATGACAAAGAATCATACTTTTAAAATGTCATCAACCAGTTTTTGAACATGCCTGGACTGACTTCACTTTGCATGATGGTTGCACGTATCAGGGTACTGGCTCATGTCAGCTTGTTTCCTGATTTTATTTAAAGTGGCTGAATGGTGGCCATTTTGTTACTTGTTTTTGTTTCCCCCTAGGCATTTCTTGAAAATCCTTGGCCAATTTGGTTGAAAGTTGGTGCAGAGACATACCATGTTTGTATGCATATGTATACATCAAATTTGAGTGATCAGCAGCCATTTTTTAACCCCCCCCCCCCCCCCAATGACATAATATTCTATTTTGAACATGTTTTCGTTCTTTTAGCAAATATGCAACAATTGATTTCATTCAAACTTGGTCTGATGGTTGTACATATTGGGTTACTGTTGTATGTCAGTTTGTTTTGCGATTTGATTTTCCACCGAATGTGGCAACCGATGACCATTTTGATCCACCATAGACAAAGCAGACACTGAAATTTATAACTGTAGTGTGAATGTAGTGTTCAGTGTATTTATCACAATTAATAAAAATAGGCTGTTGTGTTTTATTATTAGTTTAGTCATAGTCCTTCTATCCTCGGTCTGGAAACGACTAGAGTTCTTTTGTCTCTAACCGCATTGCGGGCAAACAAACCGTTCACACTCGGGCCTAGGGAGCCAGGAAGTCAGACAGATTACAATACTGTCAGAATATTCATTAAAATTGGCAAATTTATCGTCATGCAAAGCGTTACCTCATTGTATGTCTTCACTTTGACCTCAAATTCGGGCAACTACAACATAAACAAAACATGTAAACAAAATTAGCACTATGAAATTTGGGGTTTTTGAACCCTTATACGTACCAAAACCAGTCTACCAACTCATAAACATTCCAGTTCCTGCCAGGTAAAGATTAATATCGGGAATATGTTAATCTTCTAGTTTTTAATAGGAAAAAAACAGCGCGTACCAACATGCTGAAATCGCTGAACAAATCTTGTCAAAATGGCGTCGTACATGTTACCATGGTCGATCGAAAAACCTGTGATATTTCTGCTTCTTGGGGGTTCATAACAATTCAAGTCAACTATGCAACAACTAATGACTTTATTTGATGCGGAAGTATAAAACAATGCTTCAATTTTTGTCTAAAAATGTTTTTTTAGCACTGAATAGAATACAATTATAAACATCACCATTTGCATTTACAATCGAAAAAAAGCATCCATAAAAATTGCCAATGTAACGTCAATAAAATAAGGTGTGACAAATAATAAATCAGCCCACCAATTTTTAATGAATTGTTTCGATCATAAAATGTCAAAATCTAAGACAAATATTGGTTTTGCGCTGAGAAGAAGGGTAAATAAAATAGTTCATTTCAATCAACCCAAGAATCAAACACGAAACATTCCTGGGTAAAGGTATGAAAATTTGTTGCAAAAATGTGTCGCTGCTGGCTAAAATATGACCTTGTACAGATATCCTGATTAAAAAAATTGTGTGAAAAAGCTCGAATTCTGGAATAAATAAAGTGGTAAAAAAAAACAGCACTGACGTTGTCAAAAATAATGACCGACTGTGTACTGATCATGTGATAATGCTTTGCGCATACCCGCAACGCGCACGCAAATTCACATATAATACAATGACCATTTCCAGACTGGGGATAGAGGGACTGTGGTTTAGTGGATAATTCAAGATTTGGGAACCTAATTTTGGGATTCCTTTTGGTGACCTCATTTGGAGACTCTCTACAGATTAATCTCTATATAATTTGAATAACAATTAAATAATGTAAACAAACTTTGCAAATCAAATAAAACATACGCAGAATGGGTTGTCCTTTGCGTATTTGACGTGTTCCTTTATCTTAGCAGTCATTTGGGCTTCACGGATAAATGCACTTCTCTAACTGGCATATGCCCTTAGCATTCAATTTATTTTTGACAGTTCAAGGTTGTCGTAAACGTCAAAAACAAGTACGTAAATATCCGATAGTGTGTGTTCATATGTCATATTGTATGTGACTGCTACAGGCTGTGAAGAAGCTATTAATATGTGACGTATTTCTTAATTACAGAGTTTACAGTGTCACAATAAAGGTATTAACGACTTCGCCTTTATTGGCTCTTCTAGTCTTCTAGCAACAGCGGGACTCTCATCAGACAATAAAAACTTGTGCTTATGGGACACACTACTACCACATCGTAGTTCTCTGGTACAAGGTAAGATAACAAAAGTGGCTCAGGATAGGATTTTTCATGCTGTTTACGTTTATTTAGTTTTAGTTGTCACATCTTTTTCACTGAGATCTATATTTTTTACTGAATATTAGTCCAAAAACAGGGACTTGTAATTTCACATCTGTGTGTCCAACTGTCCATTCTTATTTGTTTTGTGATCAAATTCAAGATGGCTGACTGACAGCCATTTTAATGCCAACAATTCATCAAAATCAAACATTTCTGTCATTCTGTTCAAGCTTAGTACACATTCCATTTTGTTTCAATGAATGCTGTTTATCATGGGATATGTGTACAAATCACTCCTATAAAAACTGACATTAAAAATCTACATTTAAACTAGACTAGATTTATTCTAAATTTCAGTGACATTCAAACATTCATATTGTAGAATGTCACAAAAGTTGGTTTTCGTGGCTACAAGAAGTTGGTGATTGTAATTCATACTTTGTTTAAATTCTAAAAATGAATTAATTGTTGAATACTCATGACCATGAATATTAATTACTTAATTTGCATAAATCAAGTTATTTTCTGATAGACTTCAGACGACAGCTGTACAATGAAATTTTGTTTTTCTTAGTGTTGTATCTGATGACCAGACCTATACATTTTACTTTGTGCTGCGTGGTTCCAGTCATGCAGTAATTGAAGGTGGCATAATTGTGAAAAACAAATTATTACATGGACACTTGACTAATTTGCATAGACACTTTTTGCAAGAATGTGACTCTGAAAATGTTATTATACAAATGTGCTTAACCTTTACATTGAATAATTCATGTTATGCATCAAATGTCTAGAATACTAAATGTTAGACATGATCGAATATTTTATATAATTTGCATATTTTTGCAATCAGTACCAATTAAAGTGAACAACCTGTGAAGTACACAATTACTGTAAAATTTGTATTAGAAACTGCGGCTCCTATTAAAATGGTACAATGCAACAGAAGGGATGCGGCTTCTATTAGAGCATCTATACATGAAAAATAATGAATTTTTGGTTTTCAATTATTAAAAAAATTACTTTTATTAGGGATGCGGCTTCTAATACAGATTTTCTATTAATAATGTCTTTCTCAATAGTTAAGTCACAAGTGACAGACTATTAAGTGAATCTATTTTATAGAATAGCGAAACATTGGATATTTATTCCAACTATTTATATTGGCTTGGTCAGTAAAAAGTAATGGGAGAAGTCTAGGGACATTTAGCCTCCTTAACGACATAATCATAGTGTCATAACAGTGTTGGTAATAATGACATATGATACATTGAGTAATAGTAAGATTATTCATGTCAACAATCATTTGTTTAACAGCTTTTACCTGCCATGAAGGTGGTTGTCCATGCCTCGTCTTTGCACCTAATCAACAACTCATTATATCCGGTGGTAATCGAGGTGACATCTCTATCTTTGATGTACGACAGCGCCAGCTACGACATACATTTCAAGCTCATGATTCGGGGGTGAAATGTTTGGCTCTGGATCCAACAGAAGAATTCTTTGTGACTGGCTCAGCGGAAGGCGATATCAAGGTACGTGTATAGTATGACACTCAATACACATCTAGGCATCTAGGCATTCCTTTGTGAAATGCAATCATTTCATGTGTCTGTCTGTTCTGTTGTCTGATATCTCACAAACCACTTGATTTCAATGAAACTTGTTACATAGGTGCTCTGGGATGATCAACAGACCGGCGGTATTAGTTTCTGGTTGGCATCCATGTATATTACTAGTACTTGATTGTTTGTGTCATTTGTGTTATTAATCAAATTTAAAGTTTTATTTCCATTAACTTCTCAAAAAACATTCAGTAAAACTTGGTACAGGTGATCTAGGATAGTTCACAGACATGACAAATTTTGGTTTACATCCTTGCATATTAATTAACTATTTTGCATAAATTAGGTAACATTTAATTTAGTTTTTACTTGGTATGCAGCTCTCTGGGTATCTGTTTTTTGTTTGTCCATATTAATCACTTAATTTACATAACATTTTCAGTAATTCCACTGATATACAACCACATTTATTAATTTCGTCATAACATATCTATAAAACATTCAGAACATAAAAGTAGTAATAATAATATCTTACTAATATGGTTTTCATAAAATAAATTACTTGAAAACACTGAATAGGAAAGGGTAGCAAGCAATTGTAAATTATGTTGACTCTAACCCCCGTTATAATGGCCAAGATTATTGATCACTTGATCCCAAACTGTGCTGCTGCAATCAAATTTACCTGTTCTCATTATCTTTTATTGTGCTCTGTTCACAGCTATAAATTCTTGATATGTACAACATAACGGCCAATGAACTAGTTTATTCATTTCTTGGAAACAAATATGACATTATTTCAGTTATCCATATTTTCACCTGTATATTCAAAAAATATTTTGGTTCTCTGGAAATGTGTCTGAATTTATTAACAAAAATGTAGTTTTACAGTGTTTTACCATTTATGTATATAACACATTAGTATGCCTTTCTTGCAAAGTTAGCTTGACTATAAGAATCTTTCGGTGTGTGCTCATTTAGTATTTGTTCTCTCCATAGGTGTGGGGACTGTCTGTGCACAACTGTATGTATTCATTCCCAGGAGAACATGCACGTGGTACCTTGTTCCGTAGTGCGGGTGGAGGTGTAGTGCAGCTTGCACTCACACCCTCCCATAATCTTTTCTCTTGTGGGGCTGATGGTACAATGAAGTGGCGTGTCATTCCACCTGGCAGAAGCACTGTCAATACCTTTTAAACTATGTGTAGAAACAAAGTTGCTGACAGTACAATAAAGGGACATGTCATTATTAGCAGAAGCATTGTCAACGCATTCAAAGCTACTTGTAGAAACAAAGTTGCTGACTGTACAATGTAGTGATATTTCATTCTCGGCAGAAGCATTGTCAATGCATTCAAAACGATGTGTAGAAACAAAGTTGCTGTCTGAACATTGCAATGACGTCATTCTCAATAGAAGCATTGTCAATACATTCTAAACTATGTGTGAAAACAAAGTTGCTGTCTGAACATTGCAATGAAGTCATTCTCAATAGAAGCATTGTCAATACATTCTAAACTATGTGTGAAAACAAAGTTGCTGTCTGAACATTGCAATGACGTCATTCTCAATAGAAGCATTGTCAATACATTCTAAACTATGTGTGAAAACAAAGTTGCTAATACAAATGAGTTATCATTACTGCAGTATTATTTCTTTGTATTTAAATAAAGCATGATTATAACACATTATTTATAAACATCCACATAAAAAAGCTGTCCTTTTCTCATTTACAACTGAATTTATGTATTTCTATTATTTGCTCTGAATGTTGCATTAGAAGCACAATAAAACAATACTGTATTTGCTCTCTGAATAGCACATGATCTAATGTAAATGACAGAGGTGAGTCATGCAAGTTTTGGCTCAAATGTACATTTGTATGTGCAGTTCTGTTGCGCTTTTTATAGAGAAAATTTGTTTTCTGTATTTTACTACTGGGGCAGACAGACTGAATCAAAATGTTTAGCAACATTATATGTTAAATGGAACATATATCGGTAACGACCTGAAAGCACTGAAGTGACAGTATAAAATAATTTTTAAAGTGAACGCTGGTCATGCAGATTTGTGTTATTTTTTATTCACTGTTTTTTTATTATTCAGTCAATAGTAAAAAATATTATCCTTTTGTTGCTGCTTGTAAATCTTGTCACCACTTTTATTAATCGCTTTTCCTTCCATTCCATTAAAAGCAAGTATTCAATATACTGTAGAACTTTTTGTAGAAAAACGTGCTTTCAAGGTAATTTTTTTTTTTAAATTGTGGTTTGGAACATGTACTCTTGAAAGTTCCATTCATAACTAAACTAAACTGAGATTAATATTATAGCTGAATTTGAGTTCAGATCTAAAAATATGAAATCAAAAAAATATTCAAAAATGCTGTCTACCTATGCTTTTATTGATTGTGTTGAAAAAATTGCAGACTGTGTGGAAAAGTTTCAGACCTCGTTGAAAACTGGAACTACAAAGAAATAAACTATTATGGCTATCCCCACTATGAATCAATTTTTAAACAAGATTTACATCTTCTCTTATCATTTATGCAGTAAATATTCTAAGAAGACACATTCAAAATTTATTTACAAACTGGTAACAAATGTATTTTCTTTCTCAGTGATGATGTTTTGTTGTATGAAGCATTATTCAATGGACATTATATAATTTTGTGACTTAGGGTAGTATTTTGGCTGTCGGAATATTACGTGCCATTTCTGCCACACAGGTACAAGCATGTCAAAGAATGGTAACCCTGACATTGAGTACATTTCAAACAAAGCTCTTCAAGATAACTAGAAACCGATTTCATGTTTTCAATGTCATTAAACTAGTCATGTTACATCTATACAAATATGTGCAAACCACTAAGAATTCTGGGAAATATTCAAATGGCTTTGCTCATGGACCAAGAGACAAATATTTTTGAAAAGTAAAACAAAACTACTAATAAAATAGAAATATCAAGCCAAAACGTATGTCAAGTGATCACAGAATATAGTCGAGCATTGTCGGTAATTCACTTGATAGAAATTCTCCCAGTATTTTAGTTTTCGAACCAGTCAGTTATTATTTTTCAACATTGTCAGACCGATGACATGGGGGTCCACGTAGTACCTCTATCATTATTAAACATAACCATGAGGTTATGAATGAAAATCATGCTTGTTGCTGTGATACAATTAAAAGACATGTTAATTTTCCAAAACAAAACATTCAATATATATATCTGAGACTAGAAAATAGTAAAAAAAGCTGATTCATTCAATAATTGCCAGAATGTTTGTCAGTTATTTGCTGATACATAGGGATCTGGGTGATCTGGATAAGGGCGATAACCTGCTATATCATCACATGCTATGATTCATTTTCCAGTGATTTGAAATTATTATGTCCCATCTTAGATTTGCATCTCGTTTTTATTAGCATAATTCATTGAAATGTCAAATTTGAATATTTTTGTTTCATTTCTTCTGCCTTATTAACTATGTAATACAGGAAATGTAAGATTTATTCAGACTAATTATATATTTATACAGTCTGTTGCCATAGTAAAGAATCCCCTTCATACCTATATGTAGTTAAAAAGTTATACTCTGCTGCTTTTCAGAGTAACAGAACTACTTGTGTCTGAATGGTATGATATCCTGTCTGAAGGCCATCTATCTTTGCTTGCAATGTCTGCAATCATTGTCTGGTTTGTCAGGAATATTGTCTGGTATCATCTCCGGAAGGTCCGGTATCCCGTCTGGAAAGTCTGGTAATCTGTTTGGAAATTTGGTATTCTGTCCACATGTTCAGCTATTCTTGTCTGGAAGGTTTGCTATCGTTGGCTTGAAGGTCAGATATTCTTGTCTGAAAGATCTGGTATTCTTGTCTGAAAGGTCTGGTATTCTTGTCTGAAAGGTCTGGTATTCTTGTCTGAAAGATCTGGTATTCCGTTAGGAAGGTCTGCTGTTCTTGTCTGGAAGGTTTGCTATCGTTGGCTTGAAGGTCAGATATTCTTGTCTGAAAGGTCTGGTATTCTTGTCTGAAAGGTCTGGTATTCTTGTCTGAAAGATCTGGTATTCCGTTAGGAAGGTCTGCTGTTCTTGTCTGGAAGGTTTGCTATCGTTGGCTTGATGGTCAGATATTTTTATCTGGAGGTACTCTGTCCACATGGCCTATCGTCGTCCAGTTATCCTAGCTTGTCAGGGATGTTTGATATCATTGTCTGGAATATATCCACTATCACTGTTCCTTTGTCTGATACTAGTATCCTTGTCTGATACCTTGTCTGGTTTGTCTGCTGCCCTGTCCATAAGATCGACTATCTTCTCCATGCTTATTCCTATGTAGTTTTAATTGTAATTAGGTCACTACATATTCTCCTCATTTCTATTTGGCTTCAGAGTTTTGTTGAGAATCATAGTATAGGGGATGCAATGTATTGTCTGTGCGTTCAGCCTTTTAGAAGGCTACAATGCTTTGTGTGTGTTCACAAGTGGCATTTTCATATGGCTGGTTCTATTTTTTTTTCTTTGCTACATGCAGACAAAATGTCACTCATTTTACAAAACTATAGCAATACTGTTATAAAACTATCTGTCTTGTGATTCACTATATACAGAGATCGTATTTTGTATTTTGTGTGAAAAATAGCAATTTTACTTGAATGAAAAATGTAAATATTATTTTCCCCATATTTGTAGTTAAATATTTGCAGTGGGGTGTTGTTGTAATTTATGTAAATTCATTGTAAACATGTGAGTAAAAGTTGTGTTTATTGTCTATAGACATATATGGTATTATATTGAAAAGAAGTATGGTGAAATACAATTGCAGATCAATAAAAATAATCTATCAAACCTCAATTGAGTTTCTGCTGTGTGTTTCTTTCTTTGCATATTATTCCATTACTTGCAGGCACATTTTATAATTGCTTATAAATATGATTGTAAATGTTTATAGTCACCCACCCGTCAACAAGTATGTTTGAGTTATTCTTGAAAGCTACCAATCGTCGCAAGTTTCCAGTTTGAAGGGTGCTCAAGAAAAGTCATCAAAATGTAATCTGCCTGTGTAGTTTTAATTGAGTCACCTGATTTGCCTTGTGTTGAATTTAATTATTGAAGTACTGTTTTATCAATGGACAGTTTGAAATTATTTGCTTCTTTTGCACATGTCATGCCGGCTTAACCAATTCAGTGCATCCACTGACTCTTGTCAACTGATCGCCGCTTTTATTTTATTTTGAGCATGTTATTGCTACTTTAGGGAAACATTTGTCATCTATAGCAGAACATATTGCCCAATTCGATAATATAGTAAATTTATCCAGTTACAACAATGTTTGAACCTCTTGTGCTATGTGACATGTGATGAATAGCTCCAAGTCCATATGTGAACCAACTAGAGGAAGAAACTGCCACCATGATCATTGGACAGAACACTAACACTCTCTACTGTCATGGCATGCTTGTATGAGGCATGCCAAGGTGAACCTACAGATTAAGCTTGAAGTGATGCTGAAGCACCCACTTATGACTTATGGTAAGTAAAATAAAACCTTTCCATTTTTGTACATCTATCAAATATACATAATGCTGTGAGAATGAATGCTTTGAAACGTGTCAAACTACCCCTACTGATCACCTGATTCCTTGCCCATATCAGATCGTCTCCTGGAAATTCCAGGGAATGCCTTCATCTGTTTTGTACCAAATAAAGTGGGGGGATTCTTACAATCAGTGATAGTGCTCTAAATATGACGCTCCTAAAAGACCCAACAAAAAAAAACATGCCATTGAGTTATGTCAGATCCTGGCTTTGAAGAATTCATGTACATCACATGTACCCGGCATGGATCTTAACACACATGTCAAATGATTCATTCAGGGTGGTAACACTACTGTTTATTCAATGAAAGCTCTTGTGTTTGACTTTTCCACATCACCGCTGGTATTAAATTATGACAAGTAGTTTAATTACAGTTTTAATGCTAAAGGCATCTTTTTCTCGACAGCATTTCACATCAACAATGATATTGGGAAAAGCTGGTTCAAGGTGTGGATTATTGTATTTGACAAATCTCCACCTAGTCTACCTGGAGGTATGGAAAAGACATGTGTCGATGTTCTGTTCCTCTGAGAAAATCTGTGCCCTTTTGTGGTGGTCCAATCTGATCACTTAGTGTAGTGTAGGCTAGCTCTGTATGT